GCAAGGAAAAAAATGTACTTAAGATATGCCATATAATCAAATCTGTCACTAAATCAAAGAAAATTTATTCATAAGTAATTTTTATCATTACCATAAAACTGCTATGGATAAAATGAGCTGTCACAGGGAAAGTATAAGAACTCCTTGAAGCAACTGCACACATGAGCATACATGTCTATATCACTCTATGTATGTAGTTCTATTATATACAATATAATAAGGTATTCTGTAGAACTAATGCAACTTATACTTACCATCCATTACAATATCTATATTTTCTCTACTCATATTTACCATATGCTGTGAGCTATACCTAAATACCTTCAACAACACTGGTACATAAAATAATATCTGTACAACTACACAAATCCGGTATATAGAACATTATCTGCAGTATTTGACCATAAGTTATATAATTTTCACTTGTATGACTTTTTTTCTTAACAGTCCTAAACTTCTAGTGAAGTATATTGTCTATAAAAAGTTGGATCATTATACACTGAACTATATATCCCTCACTCAAACCTTGAATAGGCAAGTCCACTATATAAACAAAATTTTCCCTACTTATGTCTACTACTTTGTTGCGATTCTACCGCACTACTACTTTGCTGCGATCCACTATCCGTTCTCATTCATACCTTTCCACATTTGTCAACATGAATACAGTTCTATCCACTGACATAGCATTTGCAAATGACAGTAAATAAATAAACTTATAAAGCTAATTACATGCATCACAGCCAAAGTGAACACAGAATATCTGAAAACTTTCTACCAAAGTTTGAGTAATACAAGAATGGCAAAATTTTTGCAGACTTTTCAGGCTTCATCATAATTTAAATTTGAACTGAATTCATTTTCAAACATCTACTAAATAATATGATTAAGCTCTTAAAAGATAATATTTTTCTATTACTAATTCATAAAAGACTGTATATCTCTCTCTGATCAATCTGTCATAACAATAACTTCTTTTTTAATCCTCTACCCATGAGCCAGCATTAAGCGCCCCATTAACATCAATCAAAGAAACCTATAAACCTATCACAGTGAAGAACAGTACTTATAGATGGGTTGCATAGACTCTTTTTCTAATCTGAGCCTATTCTAAAACTGGACATGTTAAATTTCATGATACTACATTTCCTAATTCTTTATCACTTTCTATTAGAATTTCAAAGAGATCATGAAAAACTTATCTTTCCTGTTCTTAATATAGCATTTATATTAATTCACTACTGCCAGGGTGAGTTTATTTTATTAATTGACTTTACACATAGATGACTTTACAAGTGTTTAGTTATCAACGACACAATTACTAATACTGCCTATCTCACCTGTTGACCCTTTTCCTTGATTTTCAGATGTTTTGTCCTTGCTTATATTGCTATTAGTAATGTTGATAACATTATAATTATAATGTCCAGAATGTTAATAACAGCAATGACATTGATAGCATTCATAATGGAAACAATTTATCTAAAAACCCAAGGAAAGGTAAAATCAGGCAAGGTCACTAGGTCTACTAACTGACTCCTTGGTGACAAGCCTCACTGCTTATGGGATAGTTTATAAATATCATAATTTACTGATTGACAGTATTATCCAATATTTAAGTCTAGTTTATTGAAGCCTTTCAAAGTGCTATTGACTATGATATCACCTTTGAGAAATATCTTGCACAATAGCTGAAGCTAAAAAAGCAGGCTTAGTGACAGATAAATGTAAAGGAAAATAGCTACCTTTACAACTTTTGCAATGCTCTCTGATTCATGCAAATAACTTATTTCTCAACTGTTTTTCACTTAGGGTTACTGTGAAGAACAATGTATAGCTCTTTACTTATGGAATACTTAAAAAATCCAATTTTACTTTTTTGTCCCAAAATACAAAGCTGAGGCCAAAATAATAATCATTGTGTATAAGAGAAGTTACAAATGTGAAGAGCAACTGACCTCAAATGAAACTTACATGAACAAACTATCTATATATGTAAAATTCCTGAAGTGTTCACAAAAATCAACAACAAATGCATAAAAACCTGTACTACAATTCAACACTCTCATAGGTCAAAAGAAACCATATCTCTTTGCCTTAAACTCTTCCAACAAGGCAACAAACATCTATCTTATATATAACTATTTCACACATGTACATGATCTCCAAGTTCTGTATACCATAGCCTACATACCTTGAAATAGAGTGTGTGGCATAGGTCCTTGATAAAGTGAGACATTTCGATGAGCTTCTCACGACACATGGGGAAAGATGCGGCAGCTGTATAACAACGTGCAATATTGATACAAACTTGTACTGCAACATCACCAGGTTTGCTGCTAGCATTTAGCACATTTACACAGCGGTTGTATGCACCTTGAAGCACCTAGAACACAAAAGAAAATATAGATCTTTGTAATTATTGAAAAACAGGAAAATCATCCATTACTGTCTTCAAAATAACCATACTGCAAAATGAAAGAAAGAAATCATACACTAC